GAATGGCGTGAAACTGGGAGGCAGAGCTTGCAGTGAGCCGAGATCGGGCCACTGCACTCCAGCCTGGGCGACAGAGCGAGACTCCGTCTCAAAAAAAAAAAGGAAGTGTCTAAATTCCAGACTGTTTATATCAAGGGACATGCCCATTATCATGTTTGGAGAACTTTGGGGAGGGGTATTGTTGTGTCCACAAAATGAATGTAGACATGAACCGCTTTTACTTGTGTACATCTGATGCAGAATTTCTGAGTGAGTTTATTTAATCCAGCAAGTATTTACCGACTACCTGCTAAATATGAGGGATGAGATGAAGATAAAAGATAAAGAAAACCGGCCAGGCGCGGTGGCTCTTGCCTGTAATCCCAGCACTTTGGGAGGCTGAGGTGAGTGGATCACCTGAGGTCAGGAGTTTGAGACCAGACTGGCCAACATGGTGAAACCCCGTCTCTACTAAAAATACAAAAATTAGCTGGGCAGGGTTGCAGGCGCCTCTAATACCAGCTCCTTGGGAGGCTGAGGTGGGAGAATCACTTGAACTCAGGAGGAGGAGGTTATAGTGAGCCGAGGTTGCACCACTGCACTCCAGCCTGGGTGACAGACTCCATCTCAAAAAAAAAAAAAAAAAAGAAAACCTAGTCTCTGTTCTCACAGAGCTCACAGGGTGGGGGTGAGAAAGGTACATAAATAACTCAAATACAAGGCAGAATAAGTTCTGTGCCCTAAGTAAATAAATCTAAGGCAAGAACTCCTTTTTAAAATCCACCCACAGCAGTTGTAGAACCCAGGGTATACCCTTTCCTCAACTCTAGTTTTAGTTTCTGTTGTATTTATTGCTGTACAGCCAATAAGTACACTATAAGAGACCTGGGAATTTGGTGACCCATAGAATAGACTTTTGGATGTGGATCTTTGATGTCACATTTTGCTACTGACTCTCCAGACTTCAGTGGGTGGGGATTATCAAGTTTTCCCAGGGCTTGGAAAACAATGGGGCTAATTCAGTGCCTGCAGAAGCTGACACCCAAAGCATTCTACCCTGAGGGTATATACAGCAAGCAGCTTCATAACGGGATAGGACAGTGGGAGGGTGTCCAGGAGACACAGCTAGATTGATTCTGAAGGATTTCCAAGGGCTCTCTCCCTGCCCTCTAAAAAACCGAGATCCTTTGGTGATCTATTATTAGAAGTCATCAGAAGTTCCCAGAGAAGAGTGTAGTTCTCTGGATAAACCGAAAAGACTGATGAAGTTTGGTGGGACAGTGCAGCATATGAAGGAAGCAGAGCTGAAAGCAGCAGGGGCATATGCATGGCCCTGGAGTTAGATGCACAAGAGAGTGGAGGAAGAAAGGAGCAGAGTTGAGATGGAAGGGAGATTTATATTGTAATCGGTTATCAAGATTGGTGAGGTGAGGATGGCTGAGGGGACAAATAAGAGGAAGGCAGGAAGGGGAAGGCCCTGTGGAAGGGTGAACAACAATCCAGGTTTGAAAAGGTGATCACTGAGGGAGGAACCTGAGAGGCAGGATCTCGCAGGATACTGGGCAGGGGTATGAGAGGAGAGGCCTTAGAATGGGAGGGTGTGCAAGTTATACAGGATTGGTTCATGCTGGGATGGAAGGGGCTGATTCCATTGAAGCTAGTCACATCAAGAGGTCACTAAATGAAGTACAAATTATATGAAAGTTTCAGGTCACAGAATGTGGCTGAGGATGGCAGAAGGTGGGTTGGTGGAAGTAGAACACTGAGACTAAAAATAGGATGAAAGACTACTGGACTAGAGGGGTTTAGAGCATACAGACACGTGGATTCCTGGGGCTAAGGGACTTAACAAGATGAAAGGATTTGGGGTAAAGTGCCAATGAGGTGGGAGACACTGTACGGTTGGTGAGCTCATGGGGTAAGGGCTGGGAGCATCAAAGATTCATAGAACAAGAGATATTTGGGCAAAGGATGAAGAGAGAAGTTGACTGGGTTCAAGATACTCCAAAATAGGGCAACTTGAGAAAATGGCAGTAGGAAGGTCACTCTCTCTTTCTCCAAGGCTCTTCTTCCCTGAAGCAGATCACAAAACCTAGGAAGGATTTTTCTGACTTTCCCCTGAAGCAGGTCATAATACCCTCACAGAGAGGTGCCCTCCCTGCACTCAGAGGAAAGGAGTATCCTTATCTGTGAAGACACAGGGACACAGAGAGGAGTCTGAACAAACAGGCCTTGCTAAGTTTCTCCCAGTTTACTACTATTTGATATTACCCTTTTTGCATTTTTTTCCCACAACTATCCACTCTTCATCAAATCTAGTATAAAAATACACAAGTTTAATCATTTCTTTGGGTCTTCATTTCCTTATGAAGGCTGCTGTCACATAAAACTTACATTAAATAAATGTGTATAATCTTCTCATTAAATCTTTCTTTTGTTATAGGGGCCTAAGCCATGAACCTAAAAAGATACTTTCCCTCCCCTACAAGGTGCAGGGGTTTCAGGGGATATGAGATCAAAAGTTATGAACAGTAGGATGAGAAACTCACCAACTTATGTGGCAAAGGGTCACAGAAACCTTGAGGGTCAGGGCCAGTATCGGTGGCTCATGCCTATAATCTCAACTACTTGAGAGGCTAAGGTGGGAGGATCCCTTGAGGCTAGGAACTCAAGACCAGAAACCTTGGGGATCAAGGAATGAGCTGATGTTGGATTTAGGAATTACTAGAAAATAAGGAACAAGGAGCTGAGGTTGAGTACGTTTGGGGGAAAGACAGGCAATGGAGTAGGGTTTGGTTTTGTTCTGTTTTTTTTTTTAAACTGTGGGTTCAAATCTTAGCTCTGCTACTTAGCTGTGTGAGTTTCTGGTTCATTTCTCTAAAACCAACCAACCAAACAAACAAAAATATGGGAAAATGGAAGATATAATAATAATAAACTCTTTGGGCTGTTGAGAGGTAAATTTAACTTATATATCCAGAGCTTGGCACACAGTAGGTATTCAGCAAGCCAATCGTTATTGAGGGAAAAATCAGGGTAAAGAACCACAGAAGTGAGGCTACAGCAGAGATGAGAAGATAGGGATTCCAAGATGTCAGTAGTAGCAATATAATGCAAAGTATGGGCCACATGTTCAGTCTGTTGAATCCCTAGCATTCAGGACAGAGTAAGATCCATAGGAGCGTCTCATTTCTAACAACAGCTCATGCTGAGTTCCCATGTGCCAGGCATGGTGCCTGGTGCTTTACATGTGTTATGTCAGGCACCACTATTTTCCTCCCTTAGCAGAGGTGGGGACTGAAGTTAAGACAGGCTAAATAATATACCCCAAGTCCCACAGCTGGAGGGCCAGAATCAGACTGGAACCTAGGTTTGTTATGAACTCAATGCCCCCAAATGAAGCACTCTGCTATGCTGCTTTGCAAACATGTTAACTAATGGGGCCTGATCAAGGGAAATGGGTATGCACTATTAAGAGTGAAGAGGGTGATCTGGGAATGAGGGAGTAAGGTTCATGATGCAAGCAGATCCTGGGGTGAGGTTACAAGAGGAAACTTCCAGGGTAGGGTACAAAAATGATTGCAAAAAATTATTATCTTGACTGAGAATTGCAGAATTTCACAATTTCACAGATGGAAGGAAACTCAAAGATCATCTCACCCAACCTCATCACAGTCATTTTGAGAAACTAAGGTCCAGACTGAGGAGGGGACTTCTCCCAGGTTTCTAAAGCACAGCAGTGACAGAGTTGGGACCACACACTGGATTGACTGGACTCTGGATTGATCCAGAATTCTCTGATGACTCCAATTATTACTACTTCATATTAATCTCTATATTCTCCTCAGCACCAGAAAGGTGCTGGACGCTTGTAAGTCATGTGCTGATTGACACTGAAGGGCTGGGAGGGCAGAGAGAGATGCCAGTGGGGGTGATTTTAGGATAAAGGCAGACGTGGAATGAGGGTCATAGGGCTACAGCGCAAGGATACTGAGGGCTGTGTAGAAGATGAGTGGGTGGAAAACTATTGGAGTAGGGCTTAGGAGTTGCCAGCAGTTTTGAAGGGAGTCACCGAGTTTGTGGGGAACACAGGGTAGAATTGGAGGGTTACCGGGCCAGGAGGGTCACCCAGGTTTGGGGGTCACTAAGGAGGAGTGTGGGGATCTTAGGATCATGTGAGTTATCGGATTAAAACCGAGGGAGTCAGTGGTTGGTGGGTCTCTGAGAAGTGCTGGCGAAATTCCTGGGTTAGCAGCCAATGAATAATAACCAACGGTTACCTGGTGAGGTCTTGGGGTCAGTGGGTGGGGTGTGGGGTCACAGGGGTGGAGGCGGGCGCCGTCACGGGGTGGGGTTTGGGAGTCATGGGGGAGGAGCCGCAGGGCGGAAAAGAGGGGCAGGGACCCTGGGTGGGGAAGGGGGCCCGGCCGCGGTCCAGCGGCCAGGCCGCCCTGCTAGGGCCGGAGGGAGGTGGGCACGCCGGGCTCGGGACCTTCCCGGGGCCCTGCGCCCGCCCGGCCTCCCGCCCTGGGCATGGTGGACCCATTCTTCCCGCAGCCACCAACCTGACAGCCCCCGAGGGCGACTCCGCCGACAGACCGCCATGCACCGGGCCCCGCCACCAGCGCCGGCCCCACAACCCGCCTGCGCCATAGCCCGCCCGCCCGCGCGCAGCTTGCCTCGCGCGATATCCAGGTTCCAGGGCCGCCGCACTTTCCTCTCCTCTTGGCGCGCCTCTACCGGGCCCCGGAACCCGTATAGAAAATACCGGGCACGCTCCACCCCGCCCCCCGCTTCGCCGCGGCAACCATCCAACTTATCCTCGTTCCAGGGCTCCTGGAGCCCAGGCCGCCGAGATCTGAACCGACCTCCTCGGAGCCCCGCCCCTCCCCCAGGCCGGGGTGACGCATGGCCAGAGAGGCTGAGCGCCCAGGGAAGGCGTGCTGACGTCACGACGCCCGGGTCAGGGCCCGGGCGCAGCTCGGAGCCGGGTCGTCGCTATAGCAATCGGGAATCGCTACCTGTCCCTTCCAAGGATTCGGTCCACCTGAAGCGTGAGGAGGTGGCGGAGGCCGCAAGGGCTCTGCGCTGTCACTTCCGCGGCCTGCGGGCGAGAAGGTGCGCTTCGGGAGTAGCGCAGGAGGACTGGAGGCGCAGGTTGTGAGGGACGCAGGCCGGGGCTTCTGTCTCTGTCCTCCGAGCTCAGAGCCCCCAGGCTTCTTCCCGGCCGCGCGCTCAGCAGTCACTGTCTTACGGTCCCGAAGCGCTTTAAGGTGCGCAGTCCGCAGGCCTTGCCTACTGATCTTCGAGCCACCCCTTGAAGGAAGCAGTTGCAGGTATTAAGAGCTCCTTATTGAAAAGGACGATATAGAGGGGCGGTGAGGGACTCGCCTCCTCAGGGAGGGCGGCCTGGCGGTCCTCTCAGGTTCTCTCTCATTCCCCCGTCAGCCCCACCGTCAGGCTCGAAACTGGCTACTCCCTTTTGTAGGCTTGCTTTGGGGTGAGCATAAAAACCAAGCCCCTTTACTATTTCCCTGCTAGGAGGGGCTGCGATTGGGAAATTTTCAGAAACCTGAGGGAAAATTAAAAGGGAGCGAGCTTTCAGTAAAAAATCAAATTAAAAGGAGGGGAGTTAGAGAAGGAACTGGTAAAGATTGCCTTTTAGGAGAGGAACTGGGTGCCTGGAGGAATGAGGTGAGAAACTTTCCCCTCTCTATCCTTTCAGAACTTCAACTGGTTTCTTTTGTGTCTTCCCCGCCCTGAAAACAATTTAACTTAATAATTTTTAAAGGACGTAAACTAGACACAGTTACAAAGTACGGGGTTTGGGGCTTGTGGTAGCTAAAGATGTCTTTGGGGACACGGGCGTCCTTTTCCTCTCCTGCCTGAAGAGCTTAACTAGGAAGCCCCACTTTCAGTCTTAGACATCCCTTCTTCCTGATCTGATTTGTTCTGGCTGGGACCAGAGTTAAGTTTAGGTAGGCCAGTGAGTGGCAACTGATGGTTAGAATTCCTGTGATTAGAATTAATCCCGTCTATATCTCCCAGTGTGGAAATAAACTGCCTGGCCACTATGCTGCCCTCTTTCCATTCCTTTTTGGTGGAAGTTTGACAAGTTATTTACCATAGAAAATAACTTACAGGCCGGGCGCGGTGGCTCACGCTTTGGGAGGATCAGCACTTTGGGAGGCTGAGGCGGGCGGATCACGAGGTCAGGAGCTCGAGACCAGCCTGGCCAACATAGCGAAACCCTCTCTACTAAAAATACAAAAAATACAAAAAATGGGCTGGGCGTGGTGGCGGGCGCCTGTAATCCCAGCTACTTGGGAGGCTGAGGCAGGAGAATTGCTTGAACCTGGGAGGCCGAGGTTGCAGTGAGCCGAGATCGCACCATTGCACTCCAGCACGGGCAACAGTGTGAGACTCCGTCTCAAAAAAAAAAAAAAAAAAAAGAAAAAGAAAATACCTTATAGATACAGAGAGAGGATTAAGTAGCTCCTCTAATATGAATTGAGGGTTAGAAATACAGCAGGGAATAGAACTCAGGCTGTACCTGAGTTTGTCCCTTTCGAACCACCCTTTTTCCATAGCAATATATATATTGTGGATCCCGAGGTCAGGAGTTCGAGACCAGCCTGGCCAAGATGGTGAAACCCCGTCTCTACTAAAAATACAAAAATTAGCCGGGCATAGTGGTGTGTGCCTGTAGTCCTAGCTACTCGGGAGGCTGAGGCTGAGGAGAATCACTTGAACCCGGGAGGCGGAGGTTGCAGTGTGAGCTGAGATCGTACTCTAGCCTGAGTGACAGAGCAAGACTCTGTCTCAATTAAAAAAAAAAGTATCCGGTGGATTCCAAGTACCGTAAAAATCTAATGCCTACCATCATCCACTTAAAAATATATGAACAAGTGCTTCAACAGAAATTTTATATGGTTCTCTTTCTCCTTAAACTTCTAATTCCATTCACTTCCTGTAATTATTAGTATATAATTTACTAAACTTTTTTTTTACTAAATATTACTAAATATTTACTAAATTTTCCTAAATATTTTTAACATTTTTATGACTTGTGAAACCTAAAAAGTACAATTTTTATTGAAACTGCATCTTTTAATGAGAAATATGGTGTTTCTCCCCAATTAGTTCAGGTATTCATGGATTAATATTACCTAATGGTAGAAGGAGATAAGGTGCAACATCAATCCTTTACCTGTTTTTTATTTTTATAGATATGAGCATTGAGAAACCTTATTTCCACAACTGGGAAAGGAAGAGATTTGTTACAATGATATTCTTTGAGTCTTTGAACTTCTAAATTATATGCCAACAATCACAGAGTGATCTATTAATATTATCAAATACTATCAAATAGAGTCTTTTAATTTTGTTAAAAGCAAAGGATTAGAAACCATTGAACTTCCAAAAGGATTTAGAGTCTCAGTTTCAGTTTTATTAAACATGATTATTAATTATCTGTGACGTTTACACTCAGAGACACTTTGTTAATCAGATATTGATTTCCATACTTCTTTGCCAACACAATATTTTTTGATAAAATTCTTTAATTATTACATGTTTTCAAGATCTTTTTGTTAAACTGAAATGCAGATTCAGCTCATTCACTGTATAGAAAACAACTGCCATTTGTGGAATTGGCAAAGCCAGTTTTCATTTCAAACCAATCAGCCAAATCAGACCTACTTTCTGTTAGAAAAATGTCTGACTTTATTCTTCCATTCAGATAAATATGTTAACATTCATTTTGAGGAATATTATAACAATTATTAGGGAATAAATGATTATAGCTTATAAAATGGACCACTAATAAACCAGTCAAGATTAAAATTATTTAGACCTACTATTAACATAGTAAATGGTAAAAATGAGATAGTACTGTTTGTCATATAATTAGGAATAATGCTGTATAATGTATAGTTAAATCCATCAGTTTTGAGAAGTCATATAGGAGGCATATATTCCCTTGGTAAATGTGTGTACCTGCTGTCATCAAACTCTTGTTGTTCAGCTTTTGGGAACAATTAAATGAGAATCATGTCTAAAAAGCAGAAATAACTAATAATCTTGTTACACAAATTTTTTTCTTCTGTTTAGAAAGGAAAGCTATATTTGCTAAGAAATAATGAATTGAGCAGCTAGCAATTTCATTTTTTACTAGGAGGTAGAAAATAATAAACATTTTATAAGATAAAATAGGAAAACTGATTACAATGGGAATATTTTGATATGAAGTGGAAAATAATTGCTCCCTCCCAGCTCCCCAGTTTTTTACACCCTGGACCATGCATCAAAATTCAGTGTAGGGGAGAGATACTACCTCTTTTGTAAAGTAGGACAAGGACTATGGTGAAAGTGGGGCAGTGGTAGAATGGAGAATGTGCATGAATATGTCAGCTGGCTCCCAAACGGATTGGTTTGAGATTTTTTTTTTTGAGACGGAGTCTCGCTTTGTCACCCAGGCTGGAGTGCAGTGGCCCGATCTCAGCTCACTGTAACCTTCGCTTCCCAGGTTTAAGCGATTTTCCTGCCTCAGCCTCTTGAGTAGCTGAGTAGCCACCACGCCCAGCTAATTTTTGTATTTTTAGTAGAGATGGGGTTTCACCATGTTGGTCATTCTGGTGGTCTCAAACTCCTGACCTCGTGATCTGCCTGCCTCGGCCTCCCAAAGTGCGAGGATTACAGGCATGAGCCACCGTGCCTGGCCTTTTTTTTTTTTTGAGATGAAGTTTCGCTCCTGTTGCCCAGGCTGGAGTACAGTGGCACAACCTCGCCTTACTGCCACCTCTGCCTTCTGGGTTCAAGCGATTCTCATGCCTCAGCCTGCCAAGTAGCTGGGATTACAGGTGCCTGCCACCACACCCAGCTATCTTTTTTTTTTTTTTTTTTTTTTCCTGAGATGGAGTCTTGCTCTGTTACTCAGGCTAGAGTGCAGTGGCCCAGTTCAGCTCACTGCAACCTCCCCTTCCTAGGTTCAAGTGATTCTCCTGCCTCAGCCTCCTGGGTAGCTGTGATTACAGGTGTGCACCACCACACCCGGTTAATTTTTGTATTTTTAGTAAAGACGGGGTTTGACTATGTTGGCCAGGCTGGTCTCGAACTCTTACCTCAGGTGATCCGCCCACCACAGCCTCCCAAAGTGCTGGGATTACAGGTGTGAGCCAGTGCACCTGGCCTGGTTTTAGAAAATATTTTATAGGGAAGATGAAGATCTGGAAATTTATTCCTTTAAAACTCTCCTCAGACTGATTTGAGGCTATTGCCTGGGTATTCCTTGCAGTCTTCACATACCCTAGGAAAATCTTCATGTACCCCACTTGGAATACTTCTTAATATAGGAATATCAAAACTCCAGTGTCCCTGACTATACATTATTTTGAGACGCCAAAGCAAATGTCCTAGGAAGTAAGGAGGAAGACTTGTTGTTCTTGGAATAGAAGTGACTTATGAGAGAAGTCAAAGAGAATGGCTCCAAGTTCGTATAGTGTGAAGGTCATGGATACAGTCCTTGGCTTTGCAGTTCTAGAAGTGTGATTTTGGGTCAGTCCACACAAAGGTGTTCATGTTTTGTCACATTAAATCAAACTCATAGGAAGTTAATGTACATAATAGAATGCTAGTGCATTCTTTTATATTTCTAGCCAGCAAGTGAACTGGATTATTCCCCCTGTTGGGGAAATCTTATCTGGGAAGATCAGTTATAATCAGAAAGTTACATGAGGAGTGTGGATCTTGAGCATGGCTATTGTCAATGAGCTGATGAGCAAGTGCTCACTACCTGGCATATAATAGGAGCTCAGTAATTATAGAATGAAGGTACTTCATCTATATCTTCATTATAGATGCTAAAGGGTAAGTTTAAGATTCTGATAGGCCACCCCAACATGTTTTTTGATCAGGTAGATTTTTCCTTGTTCCTCAAGTTATACTCTTAAATGGCTATATCATGTAGATATTAAATCCAATAAAATTTCACGTCAGGGAATTATATAATTGCGACAGCTAAGTTTTATCTATCATCTCTGAGCCTAGAAATTGGGACTGTTCATTGATAAAAGAGATTGGAGATTGCTTTCTTGTGCCCTGTAGGAGTAGTGATGGTGGTAGTGACCAAATGATCTGTATGTCACAATACTATTTGGTGGCTAAGAGTGTACTGCATACAAAGAATGACACTGGGTGACCCTCAGTGCTGGCGCTTTCCTAGAGGTGGACATCTTGACTAGGGAGGTGCTGAACCACCTGTGGGCTGGTCAGCTGTTGTGGGCTGTACTGTGGTGAGGCGGAACAATAAATTTCCCCCACTCCTTAGATCCCCCTCAGGAGATAATACTTGATACTGCTTTTAAGGATAGACAAAAGACAAGCCTTTTCAAATTTTAAAATCATTAGGGATGAGTTGCCAAAAATTTTGGGTTTTATCTGGAAGCTAGAAGACATTGTCTCCTCAAGGCTTTTTCTGGCTCTAGGATAAGCTATTGAGATAGAGGAAAAGATGCCGGGCTGAGGAGTTTCATTTAGTATTTTAATAATAATAAAAAAGACATACAAAATCCAAACATTTCTTTTTACAATTCAGATACATATTTTTCCCCAAGTGCAAAATACTCTATGAACTGCATCATTTGCTGTTTATTGTTGATTGTGTAGGAGATGCTTACTAAATTGGCAGCAGTGGAAGGCAGATATAAATACAATATTTTGAGATTTCTTCTGCATTTAACAAAAAGCCTCCCACATGGTGATGATTATTCTGAAACTTGAGTTCAGCTCACACAGGAGAATAAAGTTTTCAGTTTGTTCAAACTGCTACAGCCTGTGGTGTCTAAAAAAGCTGATGACCACTGGGGGTTCTGTTCCTTCTAATCATATATTTCCTTGTACAAATAATGACACAAGGATAGGGTGTGCTACTTTTGAGACGGGTCAAATGTAAAAATATCCTTGTGTTGTTTGCTCCCACTTTTCTCTTACTGTGCTTAAGAAAGAAACCTGGAGAGTTAATATGTTCTGCTTATGGTCAGTTATACTTTGTCTTGGTACTCCTTGTTCATGGCTGTAATATTGAGGTTAAATAGCAAATACAAAAGTTTGAATGCTCTATAACGTTTTCTGACATTTTGAGATATGACCTCATAATCCATTCCAGAGTCACCTCAAACATGTATATAGAGAACACTTCTCATATATAAAAAGTTTCTCTAGGGCCAAAGACCAGGACTGTGTTACTGAACTTTCAGCAACGAATCTGAGTCTCTACCACCTCAAACTGACCAAATCTTGGGGGCTGTTAAAGCAGTCACAGCTCAGTGCCAGCCTTTGGGGATTTCTAGGCCTGGGGCAGGCAGCTCACAACCAGGATCTGGTCAGTTTTCTTCTGACTCCAAGAGTTGTCTCAGGTTGCAGGAATAGGCATGGCCTGATAATATAGAAAGAAGGAGGCAGAGAAGTAAAGAGTAACTGCCGTGTTGCTGAAGATATAAGTGCCTTTCTGGTATGCATCACTTGGTGCGTGAAGCCCTCCCATTTCCAGGCTCAGAGCAGGTGAGGTTTTGGAGGTTTTGTATTAAGATGAATGGAGGCCCCACAGTACTGTAGCCCCACACCCTACCCTGCAGAAAGGCCTCTGGGTTGCTTTATGAAGGGTTCCTATTTATACCATCTTTCCATTTCCCTCCAATGGTAAAAACCTCTCTTCTGTCTGACCTGTAAAGACCTAGAACGTCCCTGAGCATTGACTCCTCATTCAATCCACTTAACCCCTAGTTTGATGTCCCAGGGCCAGCCTCCTCCATGGGTTCAGCAGCAGCTTTGCCTGGGTTCTGAACCCTCCAACTTGGAGGACCTAAATTAAACTTGGTGGACAATAGCAGGTTTTTACCTGCTCACCAAGATCTGCCTTGACATCAATTAAGAAGCCTAGTGGTCTATGCCTTCCACACTGTGGAACTCATTTGCAGGTCTCATAAACCATGGAATAAATGGTTGGAGGATGTGTATTTGTATATATGTATGTATGGTGTCACAGCAAAGGAAGGGAGAAAGGAGAAGCCAGACCCTGAAGGCATATGTTGAGAAGCATGGTCACTGTTTGGCTTTCCAAGAGATGCAAAACGGCTGGCAGAGAGGAATCAGAAAGTTATCCTAGGCTGGGCGCGGTGGTTCATGCCTGTAATCCCAGCACTTTGGGAGGCCAAGGTGGGTGGATCACCTGAGGTCAGGAGTTCAAGACCAGCCTGGCAACATGGTGAAACCCCATATCTACTAAAAATACAAAGATTATCTGGGCTTGGTGGTGCACACCTGTAATCCTAGCTACTGGGGAGGCCGAGGCAGAATTGCTTCAGTCCGGGAGGCGGAGGTTGCAGTAGGCCGAGAGAGCACCATTGCACTCCAGCCTGGGCGAGAGAGCGAGACTCCATCTCGAAAAAAAAAAAAAAAAAAAAAAAAAAAGAAAGGTATCCTAGCTTCTGGTGGAGAATTAGGATAGTCAGAGTTGATTAAAGAAGTTTTCATGGTGCTTCCTGGGAAGTACAGAGACACTCCTACTAAATGACCATTTCCCATGTTTGGAAGCAGCCATTTTGCATCTTTACAGTGGCCCTCCTTGACCCAGAAAGACAAAGGTAGCCACTTTACCCACAAGGGCCATGATGTTGGCTCATGGTTGTCAGGGAATCTAGCTGTGTCATTGGCTACCTACTGCTATGGCCATTTTGGCTGATGAATGCTACCAATGGGAGGGTAGGGGGTCAGACTCCTTTATTTAGTGTTGAGTCTCCTGGGGGAGCAGTAGCCTAGGACAGTCACCTAGAAATGAATCTGAGCTGTTCTGTGAGTTACCAGGGGAGTTAAAAAAATAAAAAAAATTTTAAAAAGTAATGAACCTGAGGAGTCAGTTGGTAGCCTTTGATTGATTGGGACTACAGCTTTGGGGGAGCTAGGATGAGAAAACGGAAAATAATTTTATAGGCAGCAGTTGGATTAAGGGCAGAATGTGTGCAGGCTTTGGGCTTGGGCATGGACTTGATTCTTCTTCCATTTGATTCTTTCTTCATTTTGAAAAACAGTAGTTGAGGAAGCTAAGCTTGAAGTCAACTTTAAGAGGGAAGTGACCAGAGCCAGGCAAATAATCTGATGCCTTCTGTCTTATTCTTGGCTCCCACAGCTTTGTCTCTGGCCTCAGGACCCTGAGTCAGCCCATCCCCAGGTGGTATGTCCTGGTCCTCTTCCATGTGTACACCAGGGGATAACAGAATGAAGACAGGGAAAAGATGGAGGTTTTCCCTACTTGGGGTAGAGAATCACTGACCAGTTCCATTGGCCTCTACAATCATGAGGTCCACGCTGACTCCATGGAGAGGCATAGGGATAGCAGGATTGGTTTAGCAAACATAGGTCTCTCTCCTTCCTGCTCCATCAAATCCCCAGAATTACTTTCCTATACATTAGATGCCTCTGCACAATTACCCTGGATTACCACAGCCAAGGGCTCTAGGTGGCCAGTTGGTGGCACAGAGACAGATCAGATGCTCCAGCACTCAAGGTTCATGAGATTCAAAACCGATTTTCTTCCACTCCAAACATACACTCTTTTCTCTTGGGCAGCTATAAATAGGGTTTTGCTAGTAGAGGAAAAAGAAACAAAAACAAAAAACAAACCCAGAAAACAAAAACCCCTCCGTCTAGACAACATAGAAAGACTCAAAATGATTGCACTTATTAGGTGTGGACAGGGTGGGCAGGAGGCTCGCCAAGTGCACACACATTCCTTTTGCTGCCCACAGCCTGAGGCCAGAGGTAGGTGGCTCCAGGCTGGCTGCAGAGTGGGGTCCTCTTTGGTGAAGCCCACAAGCCAGCTGGGGCTACAAGGGAAAAACAACTGTAGGGCAAGGCCTAGGCTGGCTTCAGGTCAATAGCCATGTTTCTTTAAGGATAACACGTAGCAAGAGGAGTAGGGCTCCCCCAGGGAGCATCACATGGGGCCGAGGAGGTGGCTGGGCCAGGGAAGACAAGTAAGAAAAGGGATTGGTGTTTGAAGTTGACTTCCAATTGTTCTGTGTCTAGTCCTTTAGATGATACATTTTTTTCTTTCTGTTTTCTTTTTTTTTTTTAGCAATGCTTTAAAACCTGGTTTCTGTCCTGCAGAGCTACAGTCCTTCTCTCAGGGAGCTACAGCGGGGCATTTAACATGACAATGCCTGCTGCTTTTCCTCATTTAGCCGGTGTCCATTAACTCAGTGTTGTGGGCCATTTGTAAACCCTTATGGAGTAGACCCCAGGCAGACATGTGGGGAAAGAAAGAGAGGATCTGTATAGACAAGAAAGCTGGCCATGTGGGAAGTACAGAGCTCAAACCATGTGCCCCAGAGGACTGGTGCTGGCATTAAGCCTGTACATCAGAGGCTTCTTTGGCAGGACCCTGGACTGTTAGAGTCACCCTAGGGAGCAGAGCCAGGGGACATTTTGGCTCCTGACTAGCAAGGCACAACCCTATAATGGCAGAAGCCCTTCTTTCCCCTCCCCGTTCCCCACCAGACCCACTTCCTTCATGGGCCTTTTAGCACCCTTCCAAGCTTATGGGGTCAGGAATGTGAGCTGGTAAAATGGGCAGTGGAAGGGGCTGTACTGTTTCTTTACTTCTCAGGGGGACTAGAGCCAGTACTGAATGGCTTTTCTAGGGAGCATGTTAGAAAAGGGAAACAGTAGAGAGGCAGGCAGAGAGAGATAAAGAAAGGAAACTAGAAGGACATAAAGGGAGAGTGCCTGGTCTGTGTAGTGATACTTTTTTTTCCCTCCAAAAAGAGAGGAGAGAGTTCCTTGTCTGAGAGTAGGGGGCTGCCGGCTCTGAGGGCTAAGGAGTCTGGGGGCTTAAAAAATTGGGTCTCTGAGCCTAGGATTACTATTTGTAGGGCCTCAGGAAGCTGGAAACTTTGGAGCGGAGCAGCTTGATGAAGGATTTTGGCAGCATCTCCTTGTGTTTCTCTGTGTACTTGAAGTAGTTCTGGGGGTGGGCTAGCACCTCAAAGAAGGCCTTGATGAGCTTCTTGTCCTGCAAAGGATGGCAGGGATCAATGTCAGCCTCAGCGTCGGGGCTGGGAAAGAGGAACACCATGACTCACCAGCCCTTCTTGATGTCTACTAGGCATCCTACACTGAATATATCCAGAGGGCAACTCTGGATTCCCATTCCCAACATCTGCCCCTATTCTGGAATTCCACAACTGAGTCAGTGGCAGCTCCATCCTTCTGTTGCTTAGGCCCCAATCCTTGGAGCCATCCTTGAATCCTCTTTCTTGCTTACAAGTATAGCAAATCCTATTCACTCTACCTTCAAAATATGTCTGGGTCTGACCACTTCTTATCATCTTCCCAAGCCACCATCATCTCTGACTTGGAGTACTGTAGTAGCCTCCTAACTGGTCTCCATGTTTCTGTCTTTGTCCCTCCACAGACTCTTCTCCCCACAGCAGCCAGAGTGACTTTTTGTGTTTTTAATTAGTTCATCTTTTTCCTGTTTGAAAGTCTTCTCTGGTTTCTTTTATCACTCAGAGTAAAGCTGAGTCCCTTGCATGGTCCATAGGCTGAATGTGATCTGTGTCTTGCTTTCCACCTCCACTCTTGCTCCCTCTGTTGAGCCACACTAACCTTCTTGAGATTTCTGAACACACTAAATTGCTCCCATGCTCCTTAGCTTGGAATGCTCCTCCCTCATCTAATGGGGAGCCCTTTTACCTCATTTGGGTCTCTTCTCCTTAGAAACCTTTCCTGACCACCCTGTCTGCAACAGCAGCATGGTATGTGGAGAGCCTACTAGGTGCCAGGCACTATGCATTAAAACTCAGATCTTCTGGCTCCTAGGCTGGTGTTCCTTCCACGGCATCAGTGGATTTTTCAAATAAGAAGTAGGAGTTTCAGCCTCTTACCCCACTTTAATCAGAACAGCTGTACTGCTTTATGTGTTGGAATTCCACAGTACATTTGATTTGAATGAAATAAGGGTTCAGATGCTTTAAAAATGTTTGAAAAGTATTGTTTAAAGTATATTCTTTGAAGTCTGCAAGTTCTAGGCGATTTTTGTTGTCAAGGCTTTTATTTTGATGATAATATAAAAAATTTTGCTACTACTTTTTTGCAATGATAATTTATGAAGGATAATTCTATGACTGTGACTATAGTTTCTTTTCTTTTCTTTTTTCTTTTTTTTTTTTTTTAGACTGAGTCTAACTCTTGCTGCCCAGGCTGGAGTGCAATGGCATGATATCAGCTCACTGCAACCTCTGCCTCCCCGGTCCAAGCGATTCTCCTGCCTCAGGGTCCCGAGTAGCTGGGATTACAGGTGCCCGCCACCACGCCCGGCTAATTTTTTGTATTTTTAGTAGAGATGGGGTTTCACTACGTTGGCCAGGCTGGTCTGGAACTCCTGACCTCAGGCGATCTACCCGCCTGGGATTACAGGCGTGATCCACCGCGCCCAGCCAGACTATAGTTTCTTTGAGACGGAGTCTCGCTCTGTCACCCAGGCTGGAGTGCAGTGGGGCGATCTCGGCTCACTGCAAGCTCCACCTCCCAGGTTCAAGCAATTCTCCTGCCTCAGCCTCCCGTGTAACTGGGACTACAGGCGTCGCCATGGCACCCGGCTAATTTTCTGTATTTTTAGTAGAGATGGGGTTTCACCGTGTTAGCCAGGATGGTCTCAATCTCCTGACCTCGTGATCCACCCACCTCGGCCTCCCAAAGTACTGGGATTACAGGCATGAGCCACCGGGCCTGGCCAGACTATAGTTTCTTAAGGAAGATTTTCTCAAATTGGGATTCACTGACCCAGGGCATCTAGTTCATTCTTCAATGTTGGATTTATTTTCCTTGTCAAGTCTGTACATAAATTGATTCTGAGAAAGCTGTGCTAGATCTGCTGCTTTTTTTGTTTTTGTTTTTTTGAGACAGTCTCACTCTTGTCACCCATGCCCAAGTGCGATGGCGCCATCTTGGCTCACTGCAACCTCTGCCTCCTGGGTTCAAGCAATTCTCCTGCCTCAGCCTTCTGAGTAACTGGGATTACAGGCGCCTGCCACTGCACCCGGCTAATTTTGTATTTTTAGTAGAGACGAGGTTTCATCATGTTGGCCAGGCTGGTCTCAAACTCCTGACCTCATATGATCCACCCGCCTTGGCCTCCCAAAGTGCTGGGATTACAGGCGTGAGCCACAGTGCCCAGCCGATCTGCTGCTGCTTAATGGGGCCTGGGGAGGGCGTAAGGGAAGGAAGGGACTTATGCAAAAGTATCTTTCTATACTTCATTTTCCCTATGTCTCTTGGAAGAGGTAGGTACATTTCTTCTCCTCACTTTCCCTTTTTCTTCCAAGGTTTCCCCAAGGTGTAATATAGTGTGGGTGACGCTGCAGTCGGATGGGTTTGGGCTCAAATCCCAGCTTTACCATGGGGCAGGTTCTTTAACTCTCTATGCCCCAGTTTTCTCATCTGTAATGAGAAATGGAGAAATGGAGGCAATGGAGAAAGCCCCTACCTCATAGAGTATTGTGTCTATCAAATGAGAATATTCATGTAAGCACTTAGCATATTGCCTGCACATTGTTTTGTTACATGCTCATTAAATGTTAGCTATCATTATTGTTAATATTCACTCACCTTTAAAATCTCCTGGTGGTTTTCAGAGGCATAGAGCCGGCCATCTCGCACAATGTCTTCTACCAGCTGCTCATAATCTTCTGCAAAGTCAACCAAGGGGAGGGGCTCAGGGGCGGGAGCTCTTCCTGCTCTCCTGGTTCCCTCTCAAAACTGATGTACCTCCCCTTCTCACCCACCTCCTTGGCTCACCATCATAGGTAACATAGGGGATCTGGAAGCCACGGGCGCTGTTGGCCTCGCTTGTCTTGAAGTTGATCCAGAGCTTCCTGGAACGGGCAGTGAAGGCAATGGGGCGCTCGTAGGTCTGGCAGGTCTCATAAGTGGTAATGGAGGATGGGGATGCTGGGAAGGCAAGCAGCATGTCAGTAGAGCAGCAGGGCAGGCTACCCAAGCCCTCCTAGAACGTGGGCTGTAGAGCTGGTGGTGGGGGTATGGGGCAAGAGAGAGAATCATTCTGACAAAGGCTCCCCCTTCACATACACACACCCTACCCCACACCCTCTCCCATTGCCCACTGGGCTCATTCCACAATTCCTCCTTGATACCTGGGCGCTCACATAGTGTAATAAATTTGACATTTAAATGAATAGAATGACAAAAATGCTAGGATAGTAAAGTGACACATGTAACACCATTGGAGTTCTAGCTCCACTGCTAGCTTTCTTAACTCTGTTCTCTACCAAACATGTATCATTGCTGTTTTCCTTTGTTAGCTTCTCTATTCCCAAAGGCCTCTCACTGTTTCACCCTCATAGATCCGTGACTTCACTGCCCCACTTCTTCCTGTATCAGTCTCTCTGTCTCTCCGCCTTAACCAGATTTGGACTGCCCTTCCCTGGCCCAGCTCTGCAAGCCACCCACAGTTCTTTCTCATGACGAGGACGTCCCCACACTCATCCTCAGATGGCAGGAAGATCTCGGGTACCACGATAAGGATCTTGCGCTTGGGTGGGGGGTTGATGTTCCAGATGCACTCCACACCGGCTGGGTAGTTGCCCGGGTAGTTGGGGGACTCAATATAGCCAGTGAACTCACCCAGCTCCCCACCACACTGACGATCTGCAGCCAAGCCCCAATGGATAAAATAAGAAAGAGAAGGGAAGTCAGTGGGGAAGTGCACTGGGGGAACTGAAGAGTTCTGAAGGAGAGGTCAGACATTTATGAGAAGACTGCATCCTAGTTCATCATTATTTTCCAAGCTCTGGGTCCATCTTCCTTCCTGCCCTTTTAGTACCTTCTCTTCTCACTTCACCTGTCTCTGCTTCCTCATTACCTGTCTCCAGGGAGAGGGTGCTACAGGGTCTAGCCTAGCAACTGGCCTTGAGATTGAGTGAGTTGGGGAGAGGTGGAAGGTGGGGCTTTCCTGCCCCTCCACCCCCCAGCCCTGCTCCCTGTTGGTTTCACACCCCTCCTTTAGATGTCCACTGCTCCCAGGCGCCTCTCCTCCCTTTTCCATAGCCTGGCTTGCCACGTACTCTTGCATTGGGCCACACTGGTAGAGCCATCAAAGTCTGTGCTTGTGTTTCCTGGACAGCGGGTGCAGAAGTTCTGACGGAAGTCGGGCTGATAGGAGCCCATGGCACAGCGAATACAGCGATGGATGCTGGTGTTATAGTAGTGTCCTGGGGAGCACTGGACTGCATGCAAGGGAGAAAGGCAGGAATCAAGATGGTGGGCAGGTGGGAGTTATGGGGCATGGGATGGACAGGATACATTCATCTTGGAGAATCAGGAGATCAGATACATCAAAGTTCTTTCTAGGGTCTCAGCCTTTCCCAGTCATACCAGAATTTAAGCCCATGGAAAAACAGAGTTTACAGAGTGGTTGGCTACAGTGCCAATCCTTTTCTTTCAGACGCTGAGCACAGTGCCAAACCTAGATAGAAACTCATTTGGGATATGGAGGAGAATATGCCACCAGTTCTCCAAAGTGGAGGGGTAAGTGGGACTGTTAATTATCTCTCAGTTCCCAAGCTTGGAACTAGTGGAGGGGCAGGGTGGGTCCTGGAAGCAGGATGGTATGGTTGGTCAGGTAGCTGGGCCTATTACTGGTTTGGAGAAAATGGTGGGTCAGTGTCCACTCTGGGAACCTGGAGAGTTTTTTGGGAGTAGTTGGGGTTGGGGCATCCCCCACGGAGGTGAGTAGCTTACTCACCTTTGGTGTCACAGTCTTGGAAGGAAATGGCCCCTTCATGCTTGGTGGTGAGGCCCCCACCACAAGGGAAGCATAGGGTCCGTCCTGCTTCAGGTTGGTAGGTGCCACGTGGGCATGGCTGACAGGGCTTGAACCCATCTACAGAGTGTTGGCCAGGTGGGCACTGACCTGCAATGAATCAATGGCCCAACTCTGATGGGGATGGTCCTGAGTCATCCACATGGGGTCACCCGATCTCAGAGGGCAAAGGTATACAAACAGGATGTTGACTAAGAGAGTGGCCTGGAGCCTGGGCCTGCCTTTTGGGAAATCCCATGCCCATGGGCGTCCCAGTGCCCACCCTACCCCACTCTGTATTGTTTGTTCCCCTGGCACCTGCACACGTGGTGATGTTGGTGGCTCCAAGAGGCCCGTGGGCATCACTCCCAGGGCAAAGGTCGCAGGAGAGCTGCCCTTCTCTCTCCTGGAAGGTGCCCGCTGGGCATGGCACACACTGCTCCGTCTGGCCGTGGTAATACGTTCCCTGCGGGCAGCTGACTGAGGGAGAGTCGGCCGCGCTAGCCACCCACCCCCGCAATTCCCACCACCCAGGCCTGGGACTCCCCTTCCCACTCCCCGCCACAACCCCCAATTCAGGGAGAATCTCTGTCTGGGAACAAACACAATCCTACTTGGGGGGGATAGGAGGGCCAGAGCCGTGTGCAGGAGGATTGCCAGCCCCACCTGGCATCCTTCTAGATTTCAGCCTGGGACCAGGGAAGGGAGCATCCTGGCTGCCTCATAATTTGAGAAATGCAACTGAGGCCACAAAGGGTCCTGCTCTGAGCCAGGCCCAAACTGGGTCTTTCCTATATCCCTGCTCCCCAGTAAGCTCCCTTACCACACTTGGCCCCAGCACGGTGCTGCCCGGGCCTACAGGATTCCATCGGCTCTGCTCGCTCCCCGGCTACCAGGCCCGGCTTGTGGGCCAGCTCATAATCAAGGCCTGCCAGGCGCAGCAGGAAGCGGTCCTGGTTGATGGACTTTCTGAGCATCTTCAGGGATCCTTTCAGCCGCCGTTCCATTCGCTGTCGGAGGCAGGGCAGCCCACAGCTGGCTGGTGGTGGATGGCCATGTGTATTGGGGAGGAGGAGAAAGAGTTGCTGTGAGCAGGAGGGCAGGGGAGCAAAGCTGGGAGCTAAGAGGGGCATGGTAAGAGGGACTAGCTTTTAGGCTTGGCACCAGGCAGGGTCTGCCCCTAGTACAGGCTCCATCCCTTTTTTGCTGCTGAGGCCTGTGGTTTCCCTACCTCTGCCCTCCCCTTCCAGTCCTCTTCCCAACAGTGCCCCCAGTCCCACCTGTGGTTTCTTCGCTTCTGACCTCTGCCTCCAGTTCCAGGGTGAGCCTTGTGACCTCTTTGCCTGGAGGGGTCCGGGCTCGTCGGCCCTTGCCCTTCCGAGCGGAGTCACACTTAAGGTGGATGAAGGTGACCTGGCATTCAGAGCAGGGGGCACCACCTGGGAGAGATGCCTTGTCAACCCCAGGGACATCCCCTGGGAAGTTCTCATTCCCAGCCCAGACAGACCTCCCCAGATCTCTTAACTGTAACTATCTCTCAATCCTGTTTTAGTCTAGGGTCCTAATTAGCTGGTGGAGGGGAATAGCGTGGGACTTCCTTGGCTGCTATGCCTACAGCTGCTTTTTCCTCTGCTCTGCCTAGAGTTCAGGATGCTGGTGGGTTTTTGAAAGAGATCTCACTAATCAGAGGAGCTGAGGGGTAAGGAGGGTTTAGTGGCCAGATAGCCAATTGGAATGGGGTCCCCAGTCCAAACCTGGCCCTGCGATTCTGCCAGCCTCCTCTGTTTTGCCTTTGTTTCGCAGGTGCAAACGGCATTTGGCATCCTTGATCTTGAAGGAGGCCCGTTGTTTAATGGACAGCACTGCAGCCTCTAGAGGGATGGTAGAAACTCAGCACAGTATGGGATGCCCATGGAGGTCAGAGGTGCCATGGGGGATGTTGAGAAGCTGGGCAATAAGCCAGGGGCTTGGCTGGGGGAGTGAGATTATGAAAGCCAAGGGAATCAGCTGTTAGGGCAGAGGGAGTGAGGGAGCAGGGGTGGAGAATTACAGGGCAAAAAAGAGGATCCAGGAGAAAGGCAGGCCAGGGGATTGATGAAGAACAAAAATAAGGGATTAATGTTAAGAGAGTAGGGTGGGAACAGGGCTTCTGGGCTGGTGCTCACCATGGCATTGGTTGGAGTTCGTGCTGTTCCCATTGTGGCCAGCTCGGGCTGGAGCAGCCCTGGGGCTGGGAGTCCCACAGCTCACCGTGAAGCCATTCTCAGACTCTGAGAGAAAGAGCCTGTCACAGTTCTGACCTGCCTTCCCAATCCCCACTGGCTGGAGGAATCCAAAGGGAACGAAGGAGCTGCCTGAATGGCCAGTCCTTCCTCTTTTCTCCTCCAAAGCTCTCCAGCACCCTCCTCCCATGTACCTGGCAAAAACCGGGCCATGGAGGGACAGGTCAGGGCACAGGTGTCCTTCTTGCCAGACCGGTTGCAGCTGAGCATGGCTTTCGAGGCCCCAGGACTGCCCTGACACTTCAGTGGCTCTAGGAAGGGGAGAGAGGCCTGAGCAAATGAGTACATTCCTTTCCCACCCTCTCCCTCAGTTGGGTAATTTGGAGGAATCAGCTACTTGCATAACTATTGTACCCATGTTGTACCCATGGAGACTGATGATGGGATTGTTTACTACAAATTTCATGTCTTTAACTCAAAATGGCTACATTCTCCACCCTTTCACACCTCACACCTTTCCCCAAGATGATACTGTATGTTTTCTAGAACCCCAACTGCCCCCTGAAACTGCAGTGTCATCTTTGGTCAGCAGAGGGCACTGCCCACCTGTGCAATCTTTGCCATTCCAGTGCAGCCGGCCCTGGCCTGCTGGGCAGGTACACTGGTAGCTGCCAGCAGTGTTGATGCAGCCAAAGCGGCAACCTCCCCGGTTGATGCTGCATTCATCCACATCTGGGGGAAGGAGCAGGGAGACAGAAAAACAACAATGGAGTTTGAGGAAGAGCCAGAGAGTGGGCAGTGAGTGAGGGCCTTTGGTTAGAGTTCCAGGTACCCTGTGTTATGCAAGATGAGTAAGTTCGAGAGATCTACTGTACAACAATGTGCCTATAGATAACAATACTGTAGTGTACACTTAAAAACTTAAGAGGGTAGATCTCATGTTAAATATTCTTACAATTTAAAAAAATTAAAAAGGTATTCTAGGCACTGTAAGATGACTACTGGCTTGAGAAGAGCTCAAACCTCCTTCCGTTATCTCTGTCCCCAAAGGAATGATCGAGAAGGGGCCAAGCCGATAAGCTTTTTAAAGCCTTCCACTCCTCCCAGCCAGTGAGACTGTCATTTGGGAGCTGAGAGTGGGGTTTCAGGGACAGTTATAGGAATGGGAGATAGGAATTTTGGAGGCAGGATGCTGTTTCCCCAGTCTCCCAGTTCTTCAAAAGCTGTCTTAATTCCTCCTATTTTGTCACAGTGGATGAAGACATGGTGCATGCACCAGGGATTGCCCATAGCCACAAGCCAACACAGGGACCTGTTCAGTTGGAGGGTGAAGGGGTGAGGGGCCAGGGTGGCTGGGGGTGCAAGCTTACTAGCTTACCCCCACAGTGGGTGACACCATACAACAGGTAGCCACGATGGCAGAGACACTGGAAGCTTCCTGGTGTGTTGACACATATGTGGTCACAGGTTCGATCAAAGGAACACTCGTCTATATCTGGAAGAGCAAAGATTCAAGCCACTGAATCTGTCTTGGAGCACTTGACCCTTGCTCAGGTGAAGGACCCAAGTGAGGGGCCTTGGCTCTCCCCCTTGAACTGAAGAGTCCCTATTCACGTCCTTGCTCTAGGACCAGGGATTTAACAATGCCAGTCCATCTTCTCTGCCCCCTCTATTGGAGTCCTTGGAATTAGGAACTGCAAGATCTAGTGCCTTTAGGTCAGGGCCCACCATGTGTGGTTAGGTACGTCCTACTCTGCCAAGGATATGAATTGGGATGAAATCCATCCCTCAGTCCTTGCCCAGCTGAGTGCTTTGATGTGGAGCTGGTCCGCTGAGGGGAAGGAGGGAGTACCATTTGCTAATTTGCAGGATGACACTGCCTATAGAGACTCTGCATGATATCTATTGAGTTTCTAAGACTTTAGTCCTCTGGCCTCCTTGAAGCTCTCCCATAAGAACCTCTCCTACAGCTTTCACCTTTGCCTGAGTCTGCTCACCCTGGCAGTTCCTCTCATTGATGAGAAGCTTATAGCCTTTCTTGCAACTGCATTCGAAGCTGCCCACTGTGTTCCGGCAAATGTGGTCACAGCCCCCGTTGTTTAAGCGGCACTCATCTATATCTGAAGAAGGAGGACAAAACAGGATAAAAGATACTATCAAAGGCTGAGAACAAACAAGGAGAAAGGTCCCTCCCTCACTGACAAGAGACATGCAAAAATGAAGGAGTCCTGGGCCTGCCTCTTCTTGATTCTCTCTCTCTCTCCCCCTCTCTCCCCCTCTCTCTCTCCCTCTCTCTCTCTCTCCCTCTCTCCCTCTCTCTCCTCTTTCTCTTTCCTGTTCAGGAGATCTGTGGCCATTAGTAACACCCTCTCTTCTGGGATTGAGTGTTCTTATAAGGGGACAAATTGGAACCAAAACTAGAATCAGGCCCTCAGGGAATTACCTAGAGGAGGGGGCAGGTGGGCATTTGACCTAACAGGCTAGCCCTTAGTCTCCAGCTGATGGCCATTCCCAGAAAGGCTGGTGGGTAGGGTTATCTCTTTCCTGTCTCTCAGGTTGGGGGGTTGTGGGCATGCGGGGCAGGGAGAGGTGGAGAGTCAAAAGGGACTCACTGAAAAGGGGCAGCCTTTAGGGAAGAGGAGGAGCTGGGAAAGAGGCCAGGCAGGGAGGACCTCCAAGAGAGCCAGTGAGGCTGGGTAGCTGATGGGGGAGGGCTGGGGGCCAGGCAAGGGGCTGAACTGGGAGAGATCTGGAGAGACTCAGACCTGAGGCAGCTTTCAGCACTAGTAAGGGAAAGGGGGGCTGGTGAATGGCTTCCTTCCTGAGGTCAAGTTCCCCAAGCTGGTGGCAGACAGGACCCAGGCTACTCACCCCTGGGTGGGGGAGGGGGCAGGGAGGCAGCCTTCCACTTCACTCTTAGCATACCTGTCAACAGTTCTTCCAAGCAGGAAACCTCTCAACTCTGGCTGGCTGACCTGCTGCCCTAGCCTCCCCCCTCCTCTCACGGCTGTTGGGCCAAAAGACACAAAGAACAAGCCCAGTCCTCCTAGTCCCCACTCCTTGTGACTAGGGGATATGGACCTAATGAATCATCATTTTCAGTATGGCTACTCTTCCTTTTTCCTCCTCCCTTTCCCCCCATTCTCCCTCAGACCTGGCTAATTAAAAGGAAGGGAAACAGAATGGATAATGTGGGTAACTATACTGTAATAACAGTATAGTTATACGGTATAAGTATACTGTAATAACAGTTAACACAAAGTGTTTCCATTTGCCAAGCACTATTCTAAGTACTTTTTATATAACAACTTTTTTAATCACAACACAGTATGAGGCGAGCACTATGGAAAACTGAGGCACAGAGACATTAAGTGACTTGCCCAGGATCACAGAGCTAGTAAGAGACAGGGCTGGGATCTGAACCCAAGTAGCCAGGCTCCAGCTTCAGTCCTCCTAACGAGTATCCTACTCTCCCTTTGACCAGTACAGCCTTTCGAGGGGGAAAGATTGTTTCCCCAGAGCCCACTGGGAAGGTCTGAAGAATGTGGGGTAAGAAGGTTATGGAACACACCTGTGACCTCATGCACACACAAAGTCAGGGCTCAAATATCCTTCCAGACCCAGGGGCAAATGTGAATTGCATGTCCATTAACTAAGAGGGTTAGGGAGCCATGGGGGATAGGAATGAGAGTAGGGAAACAAGGTTGGGTAGGGGAAGGGGGCACTAAGGAACTGGCTGGACGTCTCTGTCCCTTGAACTGAGATGGAACAGGCAGATAGGAGACAACCCTTAGCTATGTCCTAGGTTCTTCATAAGAAGGAGGCTAGGGAGGTGTTATTCCATAATAGGCACCCTATCTCTGGTCCCAACCTCAGGCCTTTACCAAAGGTCACTCTGCTTCTGTCCTTTCAAAGTCCTTACCTTTGCATGTCTTCCTGTCTGGCTGCAGCATGAAGCCCACAGGGCAGGTGCAGTGGACACCAGTCGCTGCATCGTGACACTTACTGTCACAGCCCCCGTTGTTGACAGCACAGGTCTCTGTTTAGGAGGGAGGTGGGGGATGGTAACGAGGTTACAGGCCTGGAGGAGTCCCAAACTCTGAGGGTAGTGGAGACCACAGAGGCCCAAGGGAAGGCCTCAGCTGCCTCTCTGTGCTTTAGAAGGAGCATTAAGCCGAGGGAGGCTCCTAGCCCCTTTCCTCCCATCACTCCCAACCCCCATCGCCTCACAAGTACAGCCAAGCAGTCCACTTCCCTGCCCCCTACTTGATTGAAACAAGGTGGACAGCAGTGAGGCAGGTACAAGCCAGAGCTGTCAGGCAGGAATGTGCCGAGGGGGTGGAGGAGGTTGCGGGGGGGCAGGGGCAGTAGGGAGGGATGGGAGCTAAGTGAGGGTGGTTCTGGCCGCCAGGGAACCAGAAGGGACAGATAGGAGTTTCTTCCTCTTTCCACTATCTCTTTGGTGGGTGGGTGGGGATTGTGGTGGGACAATCTTATTGTAGGTGGATTGGAAAGAATGAGCCTGGCCATTCCTAAGGCAACTGAAGAATACCCATCAATTTATCTTCCCCTTCCCCGCTGCCTAGCTGTCTTAAGAAAGATCGCACTTCCAGGACCAACTGACTGCTCATCCTCAGAGGAGGTAGCACATACTGGGTTGGTTAATCTACCTTTGACTCCTCCCAAACCTTCCTTTTAGTTCTAGATGGAGACAAGCTGGCTGTTTTGTTGTTTTACTTTGCTAATGGGGAGATGTTATATAGGAGAGGAGAGAGGCAAAAGAAAGAGAAGAATCCAGAGGAGAAGGAAGGGTGTAAAAAGGTTAGTGAAAGAGAGAACCTCAGAGCTAGGTAAGACCTAAATGCTTATTTTGGCTAAGTCTCTTATGCTGCTCCCTTTTAACTAGTAAGTTTTCCCTATCACTAAAAGGTCAGAGTAGGAGGAGTGCGGATGGGTCACTCTCCCTATTTTCTGAATTCAGAGCAGGAGAAAAACAGGTTTAAATGGTAGCTTGGGAAAGTCAGATGTGTCTAAGGAAAAGCCATTAGTTCAAACAGTGAAGGCCCCTGATACAGAGACTGTGGAGGTGGTGTGGACTGTCCTCTTGGGGTGACTAGAATTCTCCCATTAGAGAGAGAGAATCCCAAGGCCTCCACTAGGGAAGATAGAAGAGTGGTTCTCAGAATCAAGGGAATTGAATAAGAGCAGTACTGGATGTACTGTCATCTTCTTGAGTCTCTGACTCCCCACACTCAGGCCCAACTCTTGTCACCAATGAGAACAGGAAGGCCAGGGCTCTAAAAGAAGCCTAACTCTACGGGTCCCTGGCCATGCCCTGGTCCCTCAAATGCCCATGTGTGGAGCAGCTCAACGTGGAGTGGGATATCCTCTGTGCCATTTCCACTTTAGTCTCTCCTGAGGCTCTCCAAGACCATGGGAGGAACCTAGTAGGGAACCTTGAGTTCAGGTTCCAAGCCTAGCCACCCCCTTAAGAGTGCTCTTAGCATAAGAAGAGGTCCACTAAGCCCAGGAGCAGGGGGAGGGGCACGGATATCTTATGCCAAGGCCAGGTAGCTTCTGAAGGATGTAGGACAGGGAATAGCAGAGCTGGCACAATGTCCATCCCAGGCTGGACAGGAAGCTGGGCATAGCTGCCCACCTCTGCAGGATGGCATTCTCGAGAGCAGGGTGGGGCAGCAGGACCAGATAGTCTCACCCCTTTGCTCTCTAGGTCACAATATTAAAACCACAAGTTACTCTGTGCTTACGCTGTGCCAGGCACTTGCCAGGTAGATGCTCTACATGCACTATCTCAAGCATTACAACCCTAAGGGAGGACTGTTATTTTATAGAAAAGTAAACTGAGGATCAGAGAGGAAAGTAGCTTGCCTGAGGTCATACAGTTAGAAAGTAGCAGAGCCAGTATTCAAACTCAGGTCTGCCTGAACACACATGCCATGCTCTTAATCATTATGGTGGGAGAGAATGGTGAGTGATGCTGGGACTGTGAACTAATGTGCGTAAGAACCCAAGAAAGAAGCCCCAAGGAGGGGATGGCATCTAACCCTATCGCACCGCTATCTCAGGTGGCACAGTGGGCATGATGGGGAAGATGAGTCTGGTGGGTAGAGCGGGGGTGGGGAGCAGATAGCTGGGAGTGGGGTAGGGTGTTAGAAGGTGGGTGTGGGAGGAGACAGCAGAAGAGGAAGGGCAGAGGGAGAGTGACAGGAACAAAGACGAGACCAACATGAAAGCTCCCGGGCCAGCTCTTAGGGACTCAGGTTTCTTGTCACCCAGTGGGCCCAGTGCCCAGGCTGCCAGGATAGCCCTGATGGCAAGTTGAGGCCCAGTCAGACCCAGTGGGCATGCAGTTAGTGGGAGCCCCAGCGGGTTAGCCCTTCCCCTAGCAAGCCAGTGAGAGCAAGCGGAGAGAGCAGACATATTTACCATTAGAAACGGCTTGAGTGGGGATGTGCTGCTCTAGCCGCCTTTCCCCTGTTTGACATTGTAAAAAAGCTGTTTAGGTGCTGGGCAGAAGCCACTGTGGCCCTCTGGGCCCCGGACCCCTCCCCACCCTCTCCTCCCCACTGCCAGCCCAAACCACTAGCCCCAAATGATGAGCCCTGGGACCCTTATGACAGCTTCACTCCTCATCCTTATCCTGTCTGGTGGTATCCCCAAAGATGCCAAGCTCCCCTCAAGTGACTGAAAAACTGAAACAGTCTCAGAAAGGGGCAACCAACCATGGGCCCAATACCACAGAGCCTGCCCAAGCCTAAGCTGGGATGCACCCTCAAGTCTTACTAACCACAAAATCCCAAATCCCAAAGGGTGCCGCCCTTTCTGCTAAACTATATTGCCTTCTCAGTCTTCCCACCGAATCTGAATGTCCTGATGGTCCCAGGCAATGATGTTTCCTCTTACCAGGGATGGCCAGAAAAATTAGATATAGGGCAAGGTAAAATAAGTTCTATTGGAGAAGAGGAAGAGGAACTAGGAAAGAATATAGCTGTAAACCCAGAATTGCCTCATTTGCTCTTTTCTGCCTCATTTGGCCATGGCCCAGTAGTGGAATAGGTCTTGAGTTAGAGAAGAGCCCAAGCTCAATAAGGGTGTTTTCAGAAGCAACCATGTCTGGAACTCTGAACAGAAATAAATCAGAGAGGAATCAGACCTTCACATCCCTGGCCCCTGACTCATGCATCTTTTCTTTGGGGACTGCAAACAATCTCTTTTGAGAGACTGGGGATGTGTGAATGTATCCAGGAGGTGGTGGGAAGTTTGGAAAGCAAAATAACTAGACCTATGAGTAAAAAATGAAAGGAGCTGAAACACACCAGCCCAAAGAAGGCATCGAGAAGACCTAAAAACGTTCTGGGGTCTCTGAAGAGTTAATTCAGAGGGAAATGTGGCAGGAGAGATTTTAATTATATAGGGACTGTAGAACTGGACATGCAAGTCTCTGGAGCAAGTGCCTGAGGGAGCCCTGTAAGAGCATCATCTGCTCTCCAGTTCCTGTTCCTGCAGTGAAAGGGACAGGTCTCTGGAGAGTCTAGTTCTTCAGTTAATGTCATGTCTCTGATATACATAACTTCATACACAGTGACCGGGTTCACATACCCCCATCCTCAGCATGCCATAGCCCACTAGATGGACAGTCATTCATAAACATCTATGCCCACACAGCAAGCTTGTGCCCTGCCTGGGTGAAAACACAGCCTCTCTCTCAGCCAAACCTCTTCATTTTATTTCCCACTTCTCCAAGAGGAAACCTTGTTCCATTATCTTTCTCAGCACTAAAGACCTAAAGGCTGAGGGAATTAGGAATTAACTTTAAGGAATTAAAGTCATCTAGGGTACCTGAAAATATATGAGATAAGGCCTAAGAATTCAGGAAGAGGGATCCAGGTTAAGAGGGCCTCAAATCAAAGTGAGAGATGGAAGGCTGTAGTTGGTGAGGAAGAAAGAGGATTGCTGGTGGAGCTGAGAGGGAGTACCACTGGTATCTGGAGGAGAGAGAAGGAAATGGGGGCAAGGGTGAGGTGAGTAGAAAGGGGAGTTGCAGGAGGAGAGTGAGGAGAGAAAGAATAAAGAGGAAAAAGATACCTGGAGCCAGGAAACCCCATCTGTCAGTTCAGGGATGGTTGTTCCAGGAAGGAGCACTCTGTCCCACCCTCAGGTGCAGAGTGGGGACACTTGGCTTTGACAATTCCTCTCTTATCACACTAGTCAACCAAGGGCCTCTGGTCAGGCCTAAGGAGATGCATTTCCCCAGCTCTCTTCCCAGTTCTCAACTACAGCCTTGGTCAATAAGCAACTCTGCTAATTATTCCCAGTTTGGCAACACTTTTTCCGGGGATGAAGAGGATGGTGAGGCTCCTGGAACAGGGTGGTAAAACCACTGGGTTGGGGAGGGGAAGAGGGCCAGGGAGCCCTTCAGTCTCTCTTAGAGTTGTCCCTTACTAGACCTGGCATTTTCTGGGTCTTAACTCTCTCACCAGTCCCTCTGTTCCCAGCACCTGGGCCCCATGCACTCCTCCACTTCCCCGGTTCCCAAGGGGTCCCACCGTCACCCCCATCTCAGGTGGACTGAGTTCTCCCCTGGCCTCACCCACCGATGCATGTCTTCCCGTCGGTATGGAGCACAAACTTGACATGGCAGCCGCACCGGGGACCCTGCTCTGTGTCATCACATGTGTGTTGGCAGCCGCCGTTACCGTAGTTGCACGTCACTGTGCACAGAGAGGACAGGGCCCTGTCAGCTTGCTCCTCCCTGGGTTCCACAGTTTTCTACAATGTGGGTATTGGCCCCCTTGCCTAGTTGCCTCCCCTATACTCCCTTTTCCTCCCAGCCCTATCCTCTTGCTCCTGAAGCCCTATACCCCTCCTCTTTGTTTTCACCCCTGACCCCACTGCCCCACCTGCCATCCCAATTATCTCACATTTACAGTCCCGTTGGTTCTTGGTAAGTTCAAAGCCAGGACGGCATTCACAGGCAATACCCCCCTTGGGCGTCTCCCGGCAAATGTGGGCACAGCCATGGTTCTTGTTCATGCAATTCATTCCTTCTAAAAGAGAAGAAAGGGGGGTGAATGCTCTGTACCCCTGGATGTCTAGAAGAGGAGGACTACAAGGGGCAACTGGGGACCTAGGGACCTGGGAGAATTCCACTGAGGTTGAATTTAACACAAGGAGGGGACTGACTCTCCTTGTCCAAGGCCTCCTGTCTTCCCCACAGACCTGGGTGCTCATGAGCAGAGCTCAGAGCTGTTCTGAATGATGTATTAATAGCTAGCTATTGATACTCATCCGAACAAATGATCACCCTCTCCTTCAAACAACCAAAAAATTGTGTATAATAGGTGTCCAGCACTGTGCTGGAGATGGGGTGGATTTAGGAAGGTTCGAGAAAAATACAAGGTGTGATTACTCCCCTCAAAGAGCTTACAGTCAAACTGAGAAGAAGATCAGTAGAAATCAGATCTACAATGCGAGTGGAAGGTAACTGGTATAGATATTTACTATGCAATTTTATTCAACAAACATTTATTAAACTCTCACTACATGCTGGGCAGTATGTTAGGTGCTGGAGATACAACAATAAATTAGACATAGTCCTTGCCCTCAGGGATGTCACAGTCTAGTGGGAGTGGGGGGCATGAGTCATAGAAACAGACAATATAAACCCATTATTCCTGCCTGACCCTCCCAGACCAATACAAGGGAAAAGGTATTGGTGAGGCCCTCTCAGATAGGCAGCAGCTTAGAGAAGCTCAGCCACCTACAATTAGGGACAACATCCACCTCAGGTCTGGACACAGAGGATACTCCATAGTAGCCTTAATCCCATATTGACCCCAACCTCAAAGTAATTTCTCCAGATTTTGCCCTAATAGGGTGTCTGTTCCTAGATCCTTTGGGGTGTGATTGAATTGAAGGACAAGAGAAGGAGGAGCTAGCTGAGGTGAGAACGGACGGTGAGACTTAGGGGCTGTTGAGGGACAGCTGGGAAGAGAAGCCTGGGGAGGACAGGGATGGGGCCATCCCAGGTCATGGGCTGACCTTCTGGCCGCTGGATGCAGGTATGCTGGTTGTCGCTGAGGAAGAAGCCTTCCCGGCAGTGGCACTCATAGCTGCCCATCATGTTGACGCAGCTCTGCTGACAGCCGCCGTTGCCCTCGGCACACTCGTCCACATCTGTGCAGGATAGGTAGGCGGTGGGGCCATGGGGTGCAGGCAGGGTCCAGGGTGTATCCCAAGACTTCAGCACCAAAGGCAGTCTTAAGAACTACCACCCCCTAAGCCCAGCCTTAAGCCAGGAAGTCCTCACACCCTTGTCAGCTAATATTCCACTAAGTTTAAAAAGGCTGCCGTGAGGGCAGAGCTGGGAAGCTAAGCAAGTGGGGGAAAAGGGGACCTTTGAACCTCACATGTCACCTAGGTGAAGCCATGCCTCCCTTTCCCTCACCTGTGTAAACTGGGTATGAGGACAGAGGATACCAGGAAAGAAGCCAGAGCAAGAGGAACAGTAATGAAGGTAAGGATGGAGATTGGTCACATTGGTTGGAGAGGTAACGGGGGGTCACAGCTGGTTGCAATGAGCAGCCAGGGAATGTAGGAACCTGGGAAGTGACTCTGGGTGCAGGCAGAGCTATGGCCATGGTGCTGAGGTTGGAGGGGCAGGGTGGGGAAAGGCAGCTGAGCCTCAACTCCTTGTGGGTCAGGGACCATTTCTGTGGACAGGCCACGGCCCCATCCTTCCTCCCCTCCCCCCTCTGCCTGGGCTTGCTGCCATATTTTCTAGCCTTTCTCCTATTTTGGTTTAACAAAACAAAGTCTGACAACTTGGCGGGGAGGGATCTGGGGAGAGCTGCCAGGCCACACCCTAGATGGTGGGGGTTAGGGGCAGGAAGAACAGTAGGCTTTCACCCCCAAATCACCACCCCTAGGTTCTAGAGCCAAGCTCACCCTGGGGCCCCAATTCAACACCTTGACTCCATCTCTACGCTAGCTACTGCCCTCCGAAGTCCATGGCCCTTCTCAGTTTGCCTTGGCCCGGGAGGCATCATGCAGATTGGTTGTCAAATGGAGCAGCTAGAATCTGGGCTCCTGAGGGCTTCATCTGCCTTCCCACCCTCTCTACTGAGATCCTGAAACCCTCTCTTCCCCTTCTGGCCAGGGCAGAGGGGCCCAGATCCAGCTGGCTCTTGCCTGAGAGGTGCACCTGTTGGAAGAGCTAAGGTGTACCTTCCTGTGCTTTGCTCCTGTCTCCACCCTATCTTTTGCTATTCTCTTGACTTCTCCCCCATCCCTGTCTTCCTGCTCTTGCCACATCCTACATTCTATCCTTCTGTCTGCTCCCCTTACCATCTAACCTTGTGGCTTTGCTACTGTAGCCAAGCTCTTTCCTCCAATTCTCAGTGGGGAAGCTAAGTCCCAGAGCATGGACAACTTTCTCAAAATTCCCCTAAGAGCCAAAGGTAGGGGAACCCTAACCCTAGGTAATCTTTGTCCCTTGACCCTCTCTATACCTAATCATTCTCTTGTTCCTCTGGTTGGTTCTCCCCAAAACACTTATAGGGAAACAAGATATGGTGAGAATCAGGGGCCTAGAAAAGTCAAAGGCAGCCAAAGAACTCAAAAGCGTATGTGCATGTCCTGTAGGCAACTGTCCTGGTCTAACTGCCACAGTTTCCCTTCCCAAATGAGTTTCATAAGAGGCCCTCAAGGGTGATTGGGCAGATATGAGGCCCTTCCCTGGAAGCTAAAATGGTAGGAGAGGTGACCAGGGCTGGGATTAAGGGCTCAGCAGATACCAGGGTTTGGAGGCCTGGATTGGGTGTAGAAACCTATAGCCTGGGTCCAGTGATGGGTTATGACTAGGTTTGGAGGCAGCTCTGCAGTAAGGAGGTTCTTCTCAGCCAATAGGACTTCAGATAATTCATCTGTTTGGTCAATTGGTGGGTGGGGACCAGCCCAGCCTGCTTTTATGGGCATCATTCCTTTTGTTCCTCTTCCTTTCCTGGTCCTTTCTGCTTCTAGTGCCTGTTTTCTGTTGTGGCTACAGGGCAAAGGAATTTAGGAGAAGGCCCTGGGTTCAAATTTCAAATCCTTTTCTGCTATGAGCTTCAGATTTTCTACTTGGGGAAGAGTCAAAGTAATTTTCCAAAATGACAGAGACCAAAGTTGAGTTCAGTTCCTTAGAGATTCTCTTATCTCTGATCCAGCTCGTGGGACAAAGGAGATCAGTGAGGAGAGGGTGAGACTGGAGATTGCAGGAAGAACTGGGAGAAAACAAGCCTGCAAGGGTCAGAGGCTCCCTGGGGCATAGGGATGCCCTGTCATCATCATCAACAACATTCTTCCCATTACTGAGCTCCTACTATGTGCTAAGGATTGTACAGGGCTCTTTTCATATGTTGTCTTGTGGTGATTCGCACAGCAGCCTTCGAGTGAGTTATTACCACCCCATTCTATTTTAGTTATTTTTTGAGATAGGATTGCTCGGTCTGGAGTGCAGTGACACAATCACAGCTGACTACAGCCTCGACTTCCTGGGCTCAAGCCAAGGAAGAGCTCCCAAGTAGCTGGGACTACAAGTGTGCACCACCACGACTAATTATTATTATTATTTTTTGTAGAGACAGGGTCTCACCATGTTGCCCAGGCCTGTCTTGAACTCCCGGGCTCGAGCAATCGTTCTGCCTCAGCCTCCCGAAGTGCTGGGATTACAGGTGTGAGCTACCACACCTGGTCCCACCCCCATTTCAGAGAGGAGAAAGCTGAGATTTCCAGAGATTGGCTGATTTGCCCAAGACCCAAGGCTAGTAAGCAGCAGAACCAAGATATCTGTGTGGAGCCAAATCAGCTTCCTACCATGCCTCACCACTGGCTAAACCCCTTATTCCCATCTCCTGGCCCTTGCCCTAGGAGCATTTCATAGCAACTTCTCCTCTAATGTTTTTCATCCAGCAGGATTTTTCATTCCAAGTGGCCAGTCTCAAAGGGGAGGCTGACCTTATTCTCTTGTAAATGTAGCTCTTTTTGATCACTCGCTCCTCCTTCCCTGGGAAATAGGAAATGCTGAAAAGATCTCTTTCTCCACAAGACATCCCTCCACCAAATCCCCTCTCCTTTGCTTACCCAGACAGTTGTGTCCGTCATGTGCCAGGTGGAATCCATCATAGCAGGTACACCGGTAATTGCCAGGGATGTTGACACAGTCATGCACACAACCTGCATTATCCTCTCGCTCGCACTCATCCACGTCTGTAGGCAAAGAGAAGCTGAGACAGCTGAACCCACCTGTGAACCCACTGTCCACCCCCCAGACTCAGCCTTATTGTTGTGTTTACATAGTAATGTTCATAGCCTATAAGCCATTTAGCATTTTTCTGTTTTCATTTAAACCTAAGTCATAAACATTTTCAGGTCTCCAGTCATTCTAATTACCACTGTATGTGGTTGCAGAATATTATTTTTCTATTCTTATAACTCCTTTTTCTCTATTGTTACAGATTTAGACTTATTTCATTTATTTTACAATCATAGATAATGCATCAAAGAACACCTTCTCCCATTTATCATTTTGTTTCTTTGAATAAGTTCTCAAGAGTAAAATTTCTGGATCAAAGGAAATACCTTTTAAGATTCCTGGTAGGTATTACAAAATTACTTTTCAATTTATAATGCAACTAGGAATTAACAAGTGTACCCTGTCCACTAAAGTCTCACCAACACTGAAGCTCATAAATTTAGTATCTCAAGGCTACTTTAATTTGCATTGATTTAATTATGAGAGGAAAATGTGTTTACATTATGAACTTCTTCTGAAGCACACTTTCTGTTCCCGTCCATTGTGGACGTGGTGTAAGGGTCTAAAGATAAAAGTTCCAATGCCAGGGAACCTCAGGCCTAAGTCTCATGATTTTCATGCTCCCACCCCAGCCGCGTTGTGGGCTGTAAACTGTCCCCACCAGGACCTCTGCTAGCCTGCATGGTGCCTTTGTGCAAATTAGAAAATGGCACCCTCTCTGGAAAGATGTAGTTGCCCCCCTCACCCCCCCCTCACCACTTGACTAGTGGAATTTCTAGCCTTGGTGTGATGGAGAGTGGCCAACTGAGGGCAGTGGCACTGGTGTGCCCTCTTCCACAGGTCCCTCTCCTCCAGGTGCCCTCCCAGCCTCACCTTTGCAGTGTTTGCCATCCCCTGTGTAGCCAGACTTGCAGATGCACTTGTATGACCTCGGGGTGTTCTGGCAGATAGCATCGATGTGGCAGTTGTCAGTCCCTTCCACACACTCATCCACATCTGGCAGGGGCAGAGGGGGCACATGAGAACCTCTGTTGGCACCCCTAAGGGGTGTCTTGAAGGTGGGCTTCCAAGGGCAGAATCCCCTCTTCTCTAAAACAGAGGCAGTGACCCCTCCAGAAACAGGTGCTGTCCCACATCTCTCTGATTTCAGAGTGGGCAGACACTGATTTTGGGAATTCAGAAAGAACCCCCACTGCCCTCAAAAATACTTAATTCACAGTGACAGCTAAAACTCCATCATTCGAAACACTCCTTTTTAAAATTTGAAAACAAACCAAAAAACCCTTAGAGTGGGTAGTATACTTAACTTGATTAGGAATAATCAACTTAAAGTGAATGAGTTTACGGACGAGGCTTAGAGGGAGGGTTAAGGGGAAAGGCATGGGAACAGTGGCCTCTAGGAAGGTGGCAGGGTCCAGCAATCATTGGTGAAGGAGGAAAAAAGGGAGATGGGGCATCTGAGGGATCTTCATCTGTCTCATGATTCTGCTTGAGACCAGGCCTGCTTCCACTTGCCCACCATGGAGCCCAGAAGCTTTACAGGAAAAATGTTCCATCCTGGATGATTTTCCTCGGCCCCTGTGCTGCCAACAGTAGAGACATCCAGAGCTGGCAGAGGTTGGCACCAGCTACCTGAAGCCTAATAAGTGCAGCCCTTTGGGCCCTAATCCCCAGTGTTCCTCTGTCTCCTGGCCCTTGCTCTAACAATAGGTGCTATACACGGAGCTATACTTGAAGGAAGAGGCCACTCACAATCTAGCAAAAAGAGGATGGTTACGAAAGGACATAGATGAGGCTGGGCGCGGTGGCTCACGCCTGTAATCCCAGCACTTTGGGAGGCCGAGGTGGGCGGATTAGCAGGTCAGGAGTTTGAGACCAGCCTGACCAACATGATGAAACCCCTAAAATACAAATCTACTAAAAATACAAAAATTAGCCAGGTGTGGTGATGCGCGCCTGTAATGCCAGCTATTCAGGAGGCTGAGGCAGGAGAATCGCTTGAACCAGGGAGGTGGAGGTTGCAGTTAGCCGAGATCACACTACTGCACTCCAGCCTCGGCGACAGGGTGAGACTCTGTCTCAAAAAAAAAAAAAAGAAAGGACGTAGAAAAGAGTCTTTGGGCAAAAGATTCCAACTTCTGAGGCAATATTATGGTGCCCTTAAATCTGAACTGAAATAGAGAAACATGTTATTCAGTTGAAAACGCCTTATTGAGTGTGTTTGTGAAAGGCGCTATAATAGCTGTGGAGGCTCAAAGGTGACTCAGCCCAGCCCAAAGGAGAAACAAAAAACATGGAGCAGGATGTGGCACATGCCCTGAAGGCATGAGACATAAGGTGAGGGGGTCCTCGACCCTGCACATCAGAGTCAACTCTCCTAGGAGATGTCCAAGCCGCAACCCCAGAGATTCTGGTCAAATAGTCTGGACTGGTGCCGGGCCATCAGTATTTTTCTAAAGCTCTTCCAGTTATTCTAATGTGTAGTCAAGGTTGAGAACCTGTGTTACAGGGCAGATCAGAGGAGAAAGAGACTACTTCCAGTTGTAAACTGGGAAACCCAAAATAGTGTCTTAAAGTAGCAGCCTGCAAGTGAGCGAGCACTGAATGGGAGGCATTACTCTCCTGTGATCCCACAACTGAGCACAGAAAGGAGATGAGATTTGACACCAAGACAATTTGATATCCAAGTGTGATCTATGGGCCACAGAATAGCCTGGGTTTTATTAAAATGCAGATTTTCAGGACTCATTATAGCCTTTTTGAATCCAAATCCTTAAGTGACTGATTATTTTTACTGAGTGAATGGATGCATGAACCAGTATTCTCTCCAATTTGTAGATACCCAGAGTCCTAGCTTGAGACAATTACCTGTCCTCTGGTTTTATACTCTGAAGCTTCCTGGGGCTAAGAAGAGAACTGAAATCCCCAAACACCCTGCCTCAAATCTCACAGGTTTCCATTCAGCTCTGCATTCTACCCTTCAACCCCTCTGCAGCCAACCATCATACCAGTTGATTCTAAGTGCTGGGAGCCTCTGTCTACACTTACTCTCCACCTCGCTCGGGCTCCGTAGTCATGGTGTCTACCTGCTGGCCCATCCTGGGAAGTCATCCCAAAGTGAAAGAATGGAGAAGAGAGGGCATGGAAGACTAGTTCATAGGTAAGGGCAAGAGGGTCCTCATAGATGCTAAGGTGCTCTGTGGAGAATCAGTTTGTGCAACTGATGAACAGAAAACAATACAAAGAAGTGTGCTATCACAGAACGATCATAAGTACTGGAACCAGTCAGTCCCAGATTCAAATCTAGCTCTACCCCTCTCTAGGGATGGTTTTCTTATTCTCCATCTCCTCCCCCTTAAAATGGGGATGATAATACCTCTTTATGAGAGGCTGTGAGTAGATGATGGGATAATTTGTGTAAACTGGCAAATAAATTATCTGGTAAACAGTAGGGTCCCAACACAGGAAGCTTGAGATGGTATTAAGTCACTGGTCAGGCAATAGATGCTCTACAGTATGACAGCCACTAGCCACATGTGGTTATTTAATTTAAAATTCACTTCCTCAGTTGCACTAGCCACAGGCCAAATGCGCAATAGCCACATGTGGCTAGTGGCTACCATGGTGGAAAGCATAGATATGGAACATTTCCAACACCACAGAACTAGCACTGCTATTAGCACACCACAGGATAGCACTGCTGTGGGGTTCTGAACAAGAGATACTCCCTGGGTCCAGCAGCATGGATACTGGTCTGGAACTGCTCCCCTGGCCATATCAGAGGTATGTGACTGTCTCTGAATCAGCTGATGCTTCACTAGAGACTGTGTCAGACTATATGGGCTCCCAGTTCTTCCCTTTGCCTCCCATTCAGTGCTCATCAGTACTAGAGTGGATCTTGATGCTGATCACCACAAACCAGGCCTCCTAGCAGATTTTTTTTTTTGAGACAAAGTCTCAGTCTGTCACCCATGCTGGAGTACAGTAGTGGTGTGATCTTGGCTCACTGCAACCTCTGCCTCCTGGGTTCAAGCTATTCTGCCTCAGCCTCCTGAGTATCTGGGATTACAGGCACGTGCCACCACACTTGGCTAATTTTTGTATTTTTAATAGAGACATGGTTTTGCCACATTGGCCAGGCTGCTCTCAAACTCCTGACCTCAAGTGATCTGCCCGCCTCAGCCTCCCAAAGTGCTGAGATTACAGGCACTGGGATTACATCACACCTGGCCAGATTCTTTAGACCCCTCCTACAGCCAGACCTCTGCCACCATCTAACCCCTCTCCCTCACCTCCCTGCTCACAATGCTTATCCCTCTCCAGCAAAGAGGCTCTGCTCTGGAAGGCATTATCTCTTCCTGTTCCCTCTACAACGTCTAACCATCCTATTCCTTTCTATGTATTTGCATATTTTCATTATTCACATTGCAGATGCATTCCTCACTTTTCTGTTCCAGCCACACTATGCTCAGCTTCCCATTCTGGCTCAAATTTTTCTTCCCAAAAGCTATTTCTTGTAAGCCCCGTTCCTGGTGAGTTCCTGGTCCAAGGGGACTGTTTTCCTCAGTTCATTTACAGCTGTCACTGAATTGCTCTGCTAATACTTTGAGGCATATTCATCTTTCCTTACTTGGCTGGGTACCTGCTGAGGAAGATGTCCCTTCAACGTTTGGTTGGAGTCTTTCCAAGCAGAACAGACCTAAGACAAAGCTGTGAAAGAGGGCCCCAAATTATACCCAGTATCTCCTCCTTCTATCAGTCATTCTTCCAGAGCTCCCTCCTACCATACATGCCCACCCAGAATTTGTCCTTGCAAGGACCCTTCAACACTCACAGCACAGTCTCATCTTAGTCTGTTCTCTCAGGATGCAGGTGTTACTAGCTGGAAAACCAGTTGATGCTACCGGGTGTGGACTGGTTTAAACCAGTGGTTCTCAACCCTGGGGCTGCACACTGGAATTCCCTGGGGGCTTTTGAAAAAATGTGAATGTACAGGTGCCCCCTAGACCAGCTGTATCAGGATCTCCAGGGTGAGGCTGGGGCCACTATCTGTCTTCCTTTCCCAACTCAGGTAATGCAAATAAACTATTTGCCCAAGCTGGGAAGAGATTAGAGGCAGCCACATGACAGAGTAGTTAAGAGGTTCTGGAGCAACATGGTCAGTTCAATTGCTTTCTCTACCTGTGTTTGTGTGGTCCTGGGCCAGCCTCTGAACTTACCTGTTCCCTCCTCTGTATGTGGGAATAATATTCATCATAGTACCTCCCATGGGGAGTCCAGGAACATCAGGTGAGTTACCCATCAAGTACTTAGCACCACAGTGTGGGCATACAGCAAGTGCTCAACAAAGGTTTGCTATTTTTTTTTTTTCTTTCTGAAACAGAGACAGGGTCTTGCTCTGTTTGTCCAGGCTGGAATGCAATGGCATGAACATAGCTCACTGCAACCTTGAAATCCTGGGCTCAAGTGATCCTACCACCTCAGCCTACTGAGTAACTGGAACTATATATGCGTGGCATCATGCTCTGCCAATTTTTTAAAATTATTTTTAGAGGCAGAGTCTTGCTATGTTGCCCAAGCTGGTCTCGAACTCCTGGATTTGAGCAACCCTCGTGTCAGCTTCCCAAAGTGCTGGTATTACAGGCGTGAGTCACCATGCCTAGCCAAGGTTTGCTACTATTATTCCTTCTCTCCAACCTTCTCTTTGTATTCTTTCTGAACTCCCATTCCCTATCAAAGCCCCATTTCAGGCCTGGTTTGGGGAAATGCAGCACCAGTGAGCATGTGTTAGTGGGGAGGATTTGGGGAGACACATCCCCACTGCTTACTCTCCCTTTGGGCTGGGACGGCCCAAAGAATGGGCATGAAGTGGGTGAGAGGCCAGTTGGGAACCCAAAAGCTGTCCTCTGCAATTCTTTTTGAAGGCTAGGGAGATCCCACCCCTACTTCAGGCCATGCATTGGAACCAAAGTTGAGGTGGGGAAGAGTGGTGGCTG